AGCCTCAGGCAATTCCTTCAGGAGGTATTCTGAAGTTGTTATAGGAGATGATAGCTCCGTGTGTGTTAGTGCCTCTGAAGACCTTCCAGTGAGACAAGGTGTGGAGGTGGAAGACAGTAATATTGTTGATATTGACCCTGTATAGACCTAGGTTAATGTGTTTATGTCTTAGTTTTAACAAAAACATTTAAAAATTAAAAAAAATTAAATAGAAAATGGCTTCTAGAATAAAGATATAAATAAAATATTTTTGTATGGCTGTACAATGTGTGTTACACTAAGTGTTATTACAAAAGTCAAAAAATCAAAAGTTTATAAAGTTACAGTTAGCTAAGGTTAACTTATTACTGAATAAAACTTTAATATATTTAGTATAGCCTAAATGTACAGTGTTTATAAAGTCTACAGAAGTGTACAGTAGTATCTTAGGCCTTCACCATTCACTCACTGCATCACCCAGAGTAACTCTGAGTCCTGCAAGCTCCATTCATGGTAAGTATCCTATACAGGTGTATTCATTTTTGAATCTTTTATACTATATTTTCACTGTACCTTTTCTGTGTTTAGATATATAAATTTTATTGCTGTGTTACAATTGTCTGCAGGATTCAGTGCAGTAACATGCTGTATAGGTTTGTAGCCTTGGAGCAGTAAGCTATACTGCATACTCTAGGTATGTAGTAGGTTATGCCATCTAGGTTTGTATAAGTACATTCTGTGATGTTTCCACAACAGTGAAACAACCCATTTCTCAGAACTGTCTTTGTCATTAAGTGATGCATGACCATAAATGGTCGGAATTCTTGAGATTGTCAAAAGGATCCTTTGTTATCAGTTCGTTGTTGGTATTGTCTTCAGCTGGTCATGATTTTGGCTTGAGGTTTACTTTTTGGCTGCTGACTATTTTTTGTTATTAATATTTGGGCACTGTTTTACTTATTTTTGATACATTTAATTTTGCTTTAGGCCAGAATATTCTGTAATGTGGTTTCGCTTTGTCGTTTTGTCTTAAACTCTGTTTAGATCATCTTCAACAGAGTTGTATGGTAGACAATTCAAAATTAAGGTTTCATTCAGTAGGAAACAACATATAGAATTTGGATATGTCTAATGACTCTATTTTCTCTATATGAGCTAAACAAAGTGACTTGGTTCAATTTTCCTCTTGCTTTTTAAAGTATAAATTATAGGGTTTTAGGAAGATTATGTAGAATCATGTATGTAGGTACCTAGTATAGTGTATTATGTGTAGTGAGAAATCCAACAAAAGAGAAATTTAGTAAAGAAGAAATTAAATTTAAAAGGCGGTAGGGGAGTTCCTGTATTATGGATGCCGTCTGCTCACTAAATATAAGATTTCTATGTCACAGTTGCCCGATCATTTGCAATCATTTCCTTCTGTCTTAATACTCTTGACCAGGCATGCTGGCTCACACCTGCAGTCCCAGCACTTTGTGAAGCCAAGGTGGGAGGATTGCTTGAGCTCAGTAGTTTGAGACCAGCCTGGGCAACATAGGGAGACCCTGTCTCTACAAAACATAAGTTGTGTGCTGGGTGCCATGGCACACAACTGTGATTCTAGCTTCTTGGAAGGTTGAAGTGGGAGGATTGCTTGGGCTCCAGAGTTTGAGGCTGCAGTGAGCTACGATCATACCACTGTACTCCAGGCTACCTGGGTGACAGAGCAAGACTCTGTTTCAAAAAAAAAAGACCAGGTACAGTGGCTCACACGTGAAACTGAAGTCCTAGCACTTGGGGAGGCCGAAGTGAAAGGATCAATTTAGCCCAGGAGTTCAAGATAAGCTTGGGCAACGTGGCAAAACCCTGTCTCTCCAAAAAATACAAAAATTAGCTGGGTGTGGTGGCGCATCCTACTGTACTCTAGCCTGGGTAAAAGAGTGAAACCCTGTCTCAAAAAAAAAAAATACTGTGTTTTTTTTTTTTTTATTTAAGTATGCTGATAAATCCTCTCAATTTTTCTGTTTGAAAATGGCTTAGGCTCGGCATGGTGGCTCACGCCTATAATCTCAGCATTTTGGGAGGCCGAGGCGGGCAGATCATGAGGTCAGGAGATCAAGACCGTCCTGACCAACATGGTGAAATCCTATCTCTACTAAAATGCAAAAAATTAGCCAGACATGGCGGCACATGCCTGTAGTCCAAGCTACTCGGGAGGCTGAGGTAGGGGAATCGCTTGAACCCCAGAGGTGGAGGTTGCAGTGACCCAAGATTGCACCGCTGCACTGGCCTGGTGACAGAGCAAGACTCCATTTCAAAAAAAGAAAGAAAATGGGCTTTATTTCTCTTTTATTCTTAAGGCATATTTTGACCAATTATATAATTTCAGATTAGCCATAATACTCTCTTGGTACATTGAAGATATTCTTTCAGTCTAATTATTGCTCTTCAAAGTATTTGTCTTTATTTTTCTGCTTTAAGATTTTTCTGTGTCTTGTTTTTTTTTTTATTGTTTTTTGCTACACTTTTTATTTATCCTGATGGGGGGTATATAGAGATTCTTAAATCTGTGCCTTGGTATATGAGCTTTTGGAAATTCTTGGTCAGTCTCTCTTCAGATACTGTTTTTACTCTGATACCTCCCCCTTTTAGTTCCTTCTAGTTCCTCATCTCATACTCTTTTTACTGTATGTTCTTCCTTTTTTGTTCTCACAGCTTAATTCTAGATATTTTCTTTGTGTCTATGTTATTGTTTGGTTTTTATCTTTAGTTTTGTCTGATTTTCTGTAAAGCCTCTCTTGGGTTTTTAATTTCGACTCATATTTTTAAATTCTAGAATTTCCATTAAAAAGAGTTTTCAGGGCCGGGCACGGTGGCTCACGCACGCTTGTAATCCCAGCACTTTGGGAGGCTGAGGTGGGCGGATCACGAGGTCAAGAGATTGAGACCATCCTGGCCAACATGGTGAAACCCCATCTCTACTAAAAATACAAAAATTAGCCAAGCATGGTGGCACGTGCTTGTGATACCAGTTACTCGAGAGGCTGAGGCAGAAGAATCGCTTGAACCCAGGAGGCGGAGGTTGCAGTGAGCCAAGATCACGCCACTGCACTTCAGCCTGGCGACGGAGCAAGACTCCGTCTCAAAAAAAAAAAAAAAAAGAGTTTTCAGTTCTTTGCCAAAATTATTAATCTTTTAGTTCTTTGAATTTATAATTATTTTAAATAATTTGGATCTATTATGTGTTTGTTTCTATTGCTTGTTACCTATTTTTCATTTTCATATGTACTAACTTTTCTCCTAATTGGGATGATACAAACCTAAAATTTTGTTCCTATCAGGGTGATGTAATTCTCCTTCACTATTATGTTTAGGATGTAGCCTTTTCAGGTCCCAGTTCAAATTGCATACTCGTTTTGTTTCCTAGCCTCCCATGGCCAACAGAAGCTCTGCTTAGCTTCTCACCCTCTCAGCAGAGGCACCAGACAAACTGGTTGCAAGTGCTTAGCTTTCTTCTGGATGTGGACTCCATTATTTCCCACTGCCTTTTTTTTTTCTTGGTGACAGGGTCTTGCTGTGTTGCTCAGGCTTGTGTTGAACTCCTGGGCTCAAGTGATCCTCTAGTCTCAGCCTCCCAAATAGCTGGGATTACAGGTGTGAGCCACCATGCCCAGCTTAGTTGGCTTTTTGTTATTCACACATTTTTAAAAATACAGTTTACGTATTCCTTATCCAAAATGCTAGGACCAATAGTATTTCAGATTTTTGATTTTTTTTTTTTTGGATCTTGGAATATTTGTGTTTATATAATGAGTTCTCTTGGGAGTGGGACCCAAGGCTAAACATGAAATGTATGCTTCACATGCACTTTATACACATAGGCTAAAAGTAATTTTATGTAATATTTTAAATAATTTTGTGCATGAGATGAACTTTGTGCTAAGTACTTATGTGTGAAATTTTCCACTTGTGGGATCACATATATATATACGCAAATATATATGAGAGTATGTGAGTGTGGGTGTGTATTGTCTAGCTGTCTTCAGCAGAAGAGTTTGTTTGAACCCCTTAATCTGCTATCCTGGAAGTAGAAATCTTGGCTTGTGTTCATAGTTAATGTGTCACTTTGAGGATAAGTAGTTTTGGAGGAAATGTATAGTAGTGGTTCTGCCTAGCTGAGATGGGTACTGTAGAGAGTTCCATATAATTACACCCTGACTACTCATTACCCACTGTGAGTTTTTCTTTTTCTTTTTTTTTTTTTTCAGTAGTTTTATTCAGTCCAGTTGTCTGCTTCTATAGATTTAACCCCCAAGCTATCCTTTCCTCTTCATTGTCATTGTTCAGGCCAGTATCAGCTTTTTCTAGACTACTTTAATGGCCCCTAACTGGCCTTCCACACTCTAGGCTGACCCTTTGTGATCTGTAATAGCTCCCTACTGACTACAACAGTTCCCTGCTCATAATGAATTGGTGACTTCCATTGTATGTTAGACAAAGCCCATTTCCTTTGTAATCTGGGACCCTAGTTGGATACCAGTTCATTCCCACCTTTCTTTCCCCCTATACAAAGCTAATGTTCCAACCATACCTTAACATTTGTATTTCTCTGAGTCTCTTGGCTGTTTTTTCATCATTATTTTCTAGGGAAATATAATTTCATCTACTTAGAATACCACTCATTGTGTATCTGGCAGACTCTTACTCATTCCTCTGAATCCGGTTCAGATGTCACATTATTTGTAAATACTTACTTATTCTACTTGTGTGAGAGCACATTTTACATTGTATTCTTCATTTACACAAATGTCTATTCTGCTGTTTTCTGAGCTGCTTATAGAAAAGGATGATGTTCTTTCTGAAGTTTGACTCACCTGTGCACTTTGAACCATTGGTTGAGTCTGTCATAACCCATCTGAATCATGAGAAATTTGCTTTTGTCTTGGAAGCCAGAATTAGGTATAAATGAGAGAAAATAAAGTCTATAGCATATTTCTCTGCCATAATAACGACCTATTTTTGCTCTTCATTGTAATTTTCAGCAGGTTTGTCAAAGATGAAAGTGACCTTATCAGCTTTGGATACTTCTGAAAGTTCTTTCACGCCTTTGGTGGTCATAGAATTTGCTCAGGATGTCAAAGAAGAAACCAAAGAATGGCTGAAAAACAGAATTATAGCTCCAAAAAAACATGGAGGTGAGTAAAATAGTCACTACTCAGTAAACTTAGTCTGGCCTCCCACACTGTATGCTTAGTCACTAAAAACATATTTGCAAATGTGTTTTATATTTTCATTGATTTATTTACTAATGTTTATTTGTTTATTTTTGCCTTTTATTAGCTATCTAGCACTTGAAAGGAGGTCTTAAATCAACATTAGGCTTTAAGTTTCCATTAAACTGAAAGCAGCATGAGTGGTTTTCTTCACAGCTCTAAATACTGTGCCTACCACTGTGTTTGGTGCATAGTAGGTGCTTGAGAAATATTTGTCAAATGAACGGACAAGTATCTATTGTATGCTCTTTATGTTTCAGTTATGGTGCTATGGGAGAGAGAAATATGGTCTCTGCCTGCAAAGATGTTATCATCAGGGTAGAAAAAAATTCAAATTAAAGAAAAGTATGCGGAAGAGCTGCCACAAAGCAATGCCTGGCATGAACAAATGAATCATGCGTATACCAACTATAAAAGAGCTCCATGATCCTTGTCTTTCATGTCAGGGAATCAAGGAGAGAGATAGTTGGCAGAGAACTTGGGGGATTGGATTATTGATAGGTACATAATAAACTAAGCAAATGATAACACAAGACAGCAACTTTTGGGAAAATGGAAAGTATGAGAAAGGAAAATCATAGCATACTGTAAGGCTCAGCTCTAAATAACATGTAGTCATAATCACACACTGACTCGATGAAACCAAAGGATGATTTAACCATAATGTGAGAATAGGTGATGGGAATGGTGAATGGAAATGGTGAAGAAGGAAAGTGAGCTAAATTCTCATCTTCAATGCTTAAAACTGAAAAATCAAGAAATAGTTTTGTAAGCATGTTATTTGATGGCATGAAAACAAATAACAAAGGAATCACCTGAACAATTTGAAAGTCATTGCTTCTGGGAAAGGTCAATGGAGGGGAGGAAGACCTTACATTAAAGGCCATCCTTGATGAGCTTCATATAAGCCCTCAGAACTTCCATTTAGCCTCATAGAGCTTCTTTTCTAAATATGAACATATAATGAAAGATCACTAAATATCTGAAAAAAATGCTCTTTTCAAATCAAGATGTTAACAAATGGTTCTTCATAAAGGTTATACCAGGCACAGTTGCTCACGTCTATAATCACAGGACTTTGGGAGGCTGAGGCGGGCAGATCACTTGAGGTCAGGAGTTCAAGACCAGCCTGGCCAACATGGTGAAACCTCATCTCTATTAAAAATACAAAAATTAGCCAGGCGTGGCTGCATGTACCTGTAATCCCAGTTATTTGGGGGACTGAAGCAGGAGAATCACTTGAATCATTGGAGGCGGAGGTTGCAGTGAGCCAATATAGTGCCATTGCGTTCCAGTCTGGGCGATAGAGCAAGACTGTGTCTCAACATAAATAAATAAATTAACTAATTAAAAGAAAGTTTATACCAGTTTCTACTCCTCTAAAAATGGCTTGTATGCCTCAGACTGCAGCCCAGTTCTGAGAAACAGCCAGGCTTAAAGTTGCCTTTAAAGGATACTTACGTTGCACAGGAATGGCCTTGTTTCAGTGTCCCATCTGTGCTCAGCTGATGGCTGGAAGCCACTGGGAGAAGCATCTTAACGTATGGCAACAGGAGCCTGGTAGTCAACCCTGCTCTTCAAAGCAGCTTCTCTTGAGGGGAGACCTGGTGGAATGGAGTATTTCATGGCTACCACACTCACCAACCTATTATCAAACTTTCCATCTTTGCAGTGTGAGAAGTGAGAAACAGCATATTGATGTAGTTTTTACATTTATCTTAATATGCGTGAGGTTAAGGATCTTATATTTAAGAGCCATTTGTGTTTTCTGTAAATTGATTATACCTTTTACTAAAGTCTTTAATAACTTTACTGTAAATTATCTATATAATGTCATAAAACAATCTTAATATATTAATTTATTTGATAAGTGAAATATAAATTCTTCTCATGATCCTTTTATCATTTGATTAATATTTTCATAATTCCTGTCAACCATCTCTGGGGGTAAATAGTAAAAAATGTACTTTTAAAAGTTTGAGGCCAGGCACTGTGGCTTATGCCTGTAATCCCAGCACTCGGGAGTCCAAAGTGGGTGGATCTCTTGAGCTCAGAAATTTAAGACCAGCCTGGGCAACATGGTAAAATCCTGTCTCTACAAAGAAATACCTTAGCGTGGTGGCACACACCTGTAGTTTCACCTACTTGAGAGGCAAAGATGGGAGGATCACCTGAACCTAGCAGTGGAGGTTGCAGTGAGCCAAGATTGTGCCACTGCACTCCAACCTGGGCAATAGAGTGAGACCCTGTCTCAAAAATAAAAAATTGATGTAGGTAGAAAGAATCTTTTTAAATAATCTTTTAAGTAATTATTATATGTATATTATCAAATTATGGCATCTTTTCATGTTTTGAGAACTTATTTCAGAAAAATATCGTAAAACCAAATAAAACATAGAAATTTATGGGAAAAATCACTGAAAAGTTATATTGCTTTTTTATTATTTAGTAGTTAACATTCACAAAATTTGTTATAGTCCAATGTAATTGTAATTGTATTACTTTTTTTTAACTGAAATATTTTGTTCCAAATTAATTTCCTTAAATTTTGTTCTATTATGTTTATATTAAGAAACTGCAACCTTTGTTCTATATTTTTGCTTGGTACACTTTTATACCTATAGCTCATAAATATTGAGTTCTCATATCTACTTTTCATTTGAATGAGTGGCACGTTTCTTAGTGCTACATTTTTCAATTTTTGCATTTATTAAAAAACTATAAAGAACTACCATACCCAATGTACTTACGTTATTTTCTTGGAAGATGGATTTAAATTGCTAATATAATTTCTGTTTCTTCTACCAAACTAGAAACATTATATTTATTTAGAAAGTTTTTGTTTTTGAAACTTTTATGTTTGTTTCTAAGATTGTCCTTACCTTTTGTTTTTATAGGTGCTCAGTTGTTATTTAGACCATTGTTAAATAAATATGAGCAAGAAACACTAGAAAATAAGAACTTATATCTTGTTGGTGCCTCCAAGATTAGAATGTTACTGGGGGCAGAAGCAGTGGGATTGGTGAAAGAGTGCAATGATAACACCATGAGAGCCTTCACATACAGAACCAGACAGAACTTCAAAGGTTTTGATGGTAAGCCCTAAGTTATTTGTCTCTGTTAGAATCCATTTCTCAAAAAGAAGTTTTTGATTAATAGATCAGGGCTTAGCAAACTTTTTTCAGTAAAGGGTCAAATAGTAAATATTTTAGGCTTTACAGTCCTGTGGTCTCTGCTGCAGTTACTTAATACTGCCATTGTAGAGCAAATAAGCAGCCATAGACCATAAGTAAATGAATGGGTGAGGCTGTGTTCCAATAAAACTTAATTTATAAAACCATGTGGCAGGCCAGATTTGGCCCATCACCATCCTTTGCCCCCTTCTGGATGAACACAAATTAGAAGAACATGTGTAACTTATAATTCTTATAATGATGAGTATTCAGTAGCTTGATATAGAAAAATACTATTTTTGAAAGCAGAATGATTGTCACCAATTCTAAGTTAACAGAATACACCAAAAAAACATAAATTACATATTATATTTTCTAACTCTACAAAAAAAGCATGTAAAGTAATAAGAAATTAACTATAAAAGTTGCATCTCATAGAGATTATTTTCTACAAATAACCACATGTGAGTATTTATTAGAAAAATCTTAATAAGAAACACAGTAGTAGTTCAGTACCCTACAAACCTCATTTCCTGAATTTTCTGGCTCCTGCTGAATGTGATAGGGTCATTGGTTCTATATTGGCCCCAAAGCAGGTTGTAGTAGAGAATATTTTCTCTGCTAGAGAACTTGGAAAGCCCCGGGAAAGCTGGGGTAGATATAACAGGATGGGAGCTTGGTTTCAGAATCAAATTGATCCCTTCCAGGGCTTTCAGAGTTAGAATATGGGATTAGACTTCTTTGGATTAACTTACTCTGGATTTTTGTACCTTAGTGAATAAATGTTCCAGATGAAATTTACCTTATTTAAGATAATTCACCTGTCAAATAGCAACAATATTTTCTTACACGACTTTCTTCTCTCTTATTAATGGACGGGATGTTCGACTCCAGAAGGGAATGGAATGGGCTTGAGAGTATGAAGGAGGATAATTTGCCATATGCAAACTTCTTCAGTTCCATATTTGGTTTAATATAATAATACGTTAATAAATTTAACTTATTATTAGTATTCAAGAACATACTGCTTTCTGCTCATTAGTACTAAATGAGATCAATTAAATGCTTGTTGAATATTTCTACTATAACTATTAAAATGGTTATTGTAGAATTGTATTACATGAAGGCATAACAGAATTTTTTTTATTCTTATAAAATATTTAAAAAGCTTTATGTTCTATTTAATTTGCCAGCTTCGTACTCTGATTACTTACATTAATTGTTTATTGTTTACACCACTATTTCCACAATCTCAGGTAATTGGAATACTTTTAGTTTGTTACTAAAAAAATCTGGTAATTTCTGTTTTATTTTAGATAATAATGATGATTTCCTGACAATGGCAGAATGTCAATTCATTATCAAACATGAACTTGAAAATCTTAGAGCTAAAGATGAAAAAATGATCCCTGGCTACCCCCAGGCAAAGTTGTATCCAGGAAAATCATTATGTAAGTCACTATTTCAGCCAATTTCATGAATACACATTCTAATACAGCTGAGTATTTTTCTTAATAGACATAAATAGCAAATTACAGATGCCCCTTTTTCCTCTTACAGAAGAACTTATATAATCTTACAATAATTTGTATTTTTATGAACATATCTTTTCCCCTTGGAACCTCATTATATGGTACCTTTAAATCAATATGTTTGTTTTATATGGTTGACTACTTATTTATCAAGATCTCATAGCATACAGTTAGCTTAAAATCCAGTGTGAACACATATATGTATTACTCAATTAAAACGAGCATAGCTTACGTTATGCCCTAACATCGTACATGAAAATCTGTGGAGGAATATAAAAGGGAAAACATAGTCTTTTCCTGGAGCACTCTTTACATTTCCTCTGATCTCACTGGGTATGCAAATCAGAATTTTACAACTTTTTAGTTTTGTGTGATTTCATTTTAATGAGAATACTAGTTTGCAGAATGCAAGAGTTTACTACAATGCATAATTCCAAGTTTGCTTCAAACCCAGATAGTGGCAAGGCTTCAGAACTTGTTCTTTTTCGTTGAGACAGAGTCTTGCTGTTGCCAAGGCTGGAGTGCACTGGTGTGATCTTGGCTCACTGCAACATCAAGCAATTTTCCCGCCTCAACCTCCTGAATAGCTAGGAGTATAGGTGCATGCCACCATGTCCGGCTAATTTTTATATTTTCAGTAGAGATGGGGTTTCACCACGTTGGCCAGGCTGGTCTCAAACTCCTGACCTTGTGACTTGCCTGCCTCAGCCTCCCAAAGTGCTGGGATTACTGAACCACTGTACCAGTCTGGCTTCAGAACTTTTTTTTTTGCCTAAGATACACTTTAAACATGTAAGCTTCTGTGTCTCCTAGTCTGTTTGGGTTTTTGTTGTTGTCATCATTGTTTGTTTGTTTGTTTGAGACCGAGTCTTGCTTTGTCACCCAGAATGGAGTGCAGTGGTATGAACATAACTCACTACGGCCTCCACCTCCTGTGCTCAAGTGATCTCCTGCATCAGCCTCCTGAGTAGCTGGAACCATATGATTTACTTTTAATAGTCAGTATAATACCACCTTCCAGTTGTCATCCAGGCAGACAGATCCCTAAGAACCAGTCCATATTCACATTTCCCAGTTGTCACCAAATATATTTTAGAGCTTGTTGCCCAAACTAAGATTCAGTCTAAGTTAACTCATGTTGTTTGGTTATGTCAGTTTCTTTTAATATAGAATAGTTTCTCTTTTCCATTTTTTCCCTCATGACATCGACTTGCTCAAGAGACTATGCCATTTTTCTTATAGACTGTTTTTTCATTGTTTCCCTATCCTCTGTTTTTTCTGAAAACTGGGAAAGTTTGGGCAAGAATTCTTCATAGGTGATGCTGTATCTTCTCTGCTCTTCCTGATTTCCTTAGACATCATGGGGAATAGAAGGCCTTCTGAGGTTTTCTTTTATTTGCCTCTCTAACTTCCTAACTCTTCCTAACTTCCTCTTTTGTTACAGAACTGTGCCTTACTTTTGACAGAGCTTTTTCAAATTCTAATCTTTCTCAATCTTCTTGCATTTCAAAGTATTTTCTTAGGTTACATTATTATTTTTACTTTTTTATAGCAAATCTTTTTTTTTAAGTAAGATGTAGTATTTATTCTAGCCTATTCTGAACTGTATTCAGAGTTCCGATGAAAACAGGGTTTATCATCTGTACTGTGGACAAAAAATGGTTCTTTTCAATTTACATAACATATGGCAGGAAAATACTTCTCCCAAGCATCTTACAATTTTCACATTTATTTTTTATTAGTTTCTGTCAATTTAAAAAATAATACATATATCTGATGAAAATTCAAATAGTACAAAAATTTAGACAATGAAAAGTTGTCTCCTCCCTGTCCCATGTTCCAAATCCCTTTGTTCTCTCCTTATCATATACCCTTAAAGAAATTCTGGGAGAAAGATCCAAGATAGCCGATTACTAGCAGCTCGGGATTGTAGCTCCCAGTGAAAGCATAGAGAACGAGAGGATGCCACATTTTCAGACGAAATTTTGTTGCTCATGGACCAGGAGATTCCCAGCGGAGGAGCCCCACGGGTGGCCAGTGTGACTCTTGTGGCTGGTGTGGTGGTTTTGCCGGTGCCTTGGCACGGTGGTTCTTGGTGCAGAGTAAACAGGACTGGGTCCCCATTTGGTCGACGTTTGGAGCTCTGGGAAGGCAGAGTCACCCATTCAGCTGATTGAAAAAGGTACTCAAGACGGAAGCCAGACTGGAGATTCCCAGGCAGAAAAGCACCATGAAGCTTAATGTCACTGTTTTAGTCAGCTCAGTGGGTTGCTCAGATTCTGGCGCTGGGAATCAACAAGTTGGACGTCCACTCAGAGACCTAATTTGAAAGTTGGTAATTACGAAGACGACAGGTGGATAAATTTACAATGATGGGAAAAAACCAGCATAAAGAGACTGAGAATACCCAAAATCAGAGTGCCTCTCCCTCTACAGGGGATCACAGTTCCTCATCAATAGGGGAACAAGGCCTGATGGAGAACAAGTGCGTTCCATGAACAGATTTAGGCTTCAGAAGGTGGATAATAAGAAACTTCTGTGAGTTACAAGGACATGTTGTAGCCCAACATAAAGAAACTAAGAACCTTGAAGAAAGGTTTGAAGAAATCCTAACGAGAATAGACAAAATAGGAATATAAGTGAATTAATGGAACTGAAGAATACAATATGAGAACTCGGCAAAGTATGCACAGGTTTTAACAGTCGAATTGATCAAGCAGAAGAAAGGATATCAGAGGTTGAAGATCAACTTAATGAAATGAAACGAGAAGACAAGATTAGAGAGGAAGGAGTAAAGAGGAATGAGCAAAGTCTCCAAGAAATAGGGGACTATGTGAAAAGACTAATTTATGTTTGATAGGTGTACCTGAATGTCATGAAGAGAATGAACCCAAGCTGGAAAATATTCTTCAGGATATTATTCAGGAAAACTTTCCTAACCTAGTAAGGCAGGACAATACTCAACTGCAGGTTGAGAACACCACAAAGATATTCCTCAAGTAGAGCAACCCCAAGACACACAATTGTTAGATTCACCAGGGTTGAAATAAAGGAGAAAATTCTAAGGGCAGCTAGAGAGAAAGGTCAGGTCACCCATAAAGGGAAGCCTATCAGACTCACAGCAGATCTCTCAGCAGAAACCCTACAAACTAGAAGAGAGTGGGGGTCAATATTCAATATCCTCAAAGAAAAGAATTTTCAACCTAGAATCTCATATCCAGCCAAACTAAGCTTCATAAATGAAGGAAAAATAAATTTTTTTGCGAACAAGCAAGCACTGAGATTTCATCTCCACCAGGCCTGCTTTACAAGAGCTTCTCAAAGAAGCACTATACACAGAAAGGAACAACCAGTATCAGTCATCCCCAAAATTTACTAAAAGGTAAAGAGTATCTCCACAATGAAGAATCTATATCAACTAATGGGCGAAATAGTCAGCTAGCATTAAACGACAATATTAAACTCACAAATATCAATATTAATCCTAAATTTAAATGGATCAAATGCCCAAATTAAAGATACAGACAGGCAAATTGAATAAAAAGTCAAAACCCGGGCCAGGCGCGGTGGCTTACGCCTGTAATCCCAGCACTTTGGGAGGCCACGGCAGATGGATCACGAGGTCAAGAGATCAAGACCATCCTGGTCAACGTGGTGAAACCCCGTCTCTACTAAAAATACAAAAAAAATTAGCTGGGCATGGTGGTGCATGCCTGTAATCCCAGCTAGTTAGGAGGCTGAGGCAGGAGAATTGCCTGAACCCAGGAGGCGGAGGTTGTGGTGAGCCGAGATGGTGCCGTTGCACTCCAGCCTGGGTAACAAGAGCAAAACTCCGTCTTAAAAAAAAAAAAAAAAAAAAAAAAAAAAACCCGTTGGTACACTGTATCCAGATCCATCTCATAAGTAAGGACACACAAAGACTCAAAACAAAGGGTTGGTGGAAGACTTACCAATCAAATGCAGAGAAAAAAAACAAAACAAAAAACCTAAGGGTTGGTAGAAGACTTACCAATCAAACGCAGAGCAAAAAAAAAAAAAAAAGTTGTAACTTTCGTCTCTGACGAAATAGACTTTAATAGTAAGAAAGACTAAAAGAAACAAAGAAGGACATTACATAATGGTAAAAGGATCAATGCAACAACAGGAGTCAATGATCATAAATATATATGCGCCCAATATAGGAGCACCCAGATACATAAGGCAAGTTCTTAATGACTTATAAAGAGACTTGGACTCCCTCACAATAATAGCGGGAGACTTTGACACCACATTGTTAATATTCAATGGATCAACAAGATAGAAAATTAACAGGGACATCTATGATTAAAACTCAGACCTGGAACAAGTAAACTCAGTGAATATTTATAGAATTCTTCACCCCAGGTCCACAGAACATACATTTTGCTCAGTATCACATTATACCTATTTTGAAAATGACCACATAATTGGAAGTAAATCACTCTTCAGCATTTGCATAGCATTTCACAGACTTAAATGAAATATTGGTTGGCTGTTTGTTATTTTCTTCCCTTATTCCTTCCTGTCTCCAATGTTAAGCACAATTACCAGCATAAAAGAGGTTTTTAATACCTATTTTTAGATGGCATTTCAGCCTGGGCAATAGAGCAAGACTCCTGTTCTCTCTCCCCCTTTTCTCTTTCTTTCATTAAAAAAAAAAAAAAAAAAAAAAAAAAAAAACAAAGAAATTCTGTTCAAGACACGACATGTTCAGAAAGATAGGGAGTATATTGTGCATACCATTTTGGACCTTGCTTTTTTATTTAACAATATGTTTTGATCATTATTCTAGAATACCAAATTAGGCCTAACTCATTCCTTTTCTAGGCCACATAGTATTCCATCATATAGATGTCATCATATTGATGAACATCTAATTGTTTTCCTTCAGTGTTTTTATT